TGCCCGGAGGGCACGCAGAGGCCCTGGGGAAGCCATTTGGCCGGCAAGGGTACAGTGGCAGTGCCCACCCCCACCCCCCTGCTGTGCTGGGCTGAACCAGGGACCCCAGAGCCAGCTCAGCATCAGCAGCACAACGCCAGCTCCCTGGGCACTGCCACCCCCCCCGGGCCACCCCCTCTCCGATGTCACCCCAGGTGTGCTGAGGCTGTGAGTGCCAGGTACAATGCCACAACCGTCACCCAAGCGTTGTGCCCCCCCCTCCATGCGCCCCTGGGGAGGGGTTCAGGCACTGCCCCTTGCCCAGACCCAGCCTGGTGGCACTGAGTGCGCAGGACCCCCTGCCCACAGCTGTACCCCAGGTACGTGCAGTGCAGTGGGGGCATTTGGGCCCTAAAAACTTGCCAGGGCTTGGCTCACCCCGGCTGGACCACCACCCCCAGCAGGCGCCCGCCAGCCCCGGTGCCACTGGCTGGGGACACAGGGACAAACCACACGAGGCACAACTCAAACAGTTGTGCAGCTGCTGCTGCTCCTTTAGTGTGAGAGAGGCACAACATCACGCGGCAAGGCACAGGCACTGGCACGCTCCCCTGGCGCGGTGACCCAATGAGGGCTGCCAGTCGTCCCCTGTCCCCCCGCCCCGCAGAGCAGCATGTCCCCAGCTTCCAGTGGGTGCAGTCTTTGGTCCTAGCAGTGTCCCTGGAAAGGCACGGGGGGCAGCTGAGATGGGGGACATGCGGGAGACCCTGCTCCTGCCAGGCACTGTCCCAAGGTAGGGTCAGGGTGTAGTGTTCAACATGCTGGGGGTGTGTGTGTGTGTGTGCACGGGGGGCCCAGCCACACAAGGGGGCTACTGCAGTGCTGAGCGGGCAGGCATGGGCGCTGCCCGCACCCTGGGGCTGGGATGCCCAGCTATGGCTATCTTCAAAGGGGCTGGGGCCCACCCTACCTCCCCAAAACGCTTCCCCCACTCCACCCCGAGCTGCTGCCAGTCACATGAATCCCCTGTGCAAAATCAGCATTGAGGTGCCTGCTGGTCCCGTGGGGACAGACGGACAGCAGAGGGACGGCAGGGTGACCTAGGGTGAGGTCTAAGTGCTACTTGGGGCTGCTGTGGCACAGAGGAGGGGGGCAGATGCCCTGTTTCATCCTTAGCGGGGTTTTTTTCCTCTATTAAACATTCCCTGTGCTGGGGCAGAGGCTGGAAGTGAGGGCTGGACGAGGCCAGGTGGTCCCCATGCCCACAGCACTGGTGGCAGGGGGTGCTCCCAGCACCCCATCCTCTGGCAGGGCACCATCCCAGGGGGCACCCACCGAAGCGTCCCCGGGGAGAGGGGTGCACAGCACCCACCAGGACCCGTCTTGGCCCCCCCATGGCGCCTCAGGGCAGTAGGGAATGGGTTAAGGACCCACTGGCCAGGGCCATTGTTTCAGACACAATGGAGAGGAAGAGGATGCCGGGGGCCGAAATTCCTTCAGCTCCCACTGGACAGATGGAAGGAGCTGGACAAACAGACATGATGGAGGGCTTCGATGGTTTAACCCTTCCAGGTGCTGTGTGGGAACGCCCCAGAGCAGCCGGGGTGTGGGGGGGTGTTTAAGGCACATGGTGCAGCACCAGCTGTGGGACAGGCACTGGTGTCCAGGACAAGATGGAGGGACCCCCATGGGCACAGAAAGACCCAGGGGGTGTGTGGCAGGATCCATCCATCTGGTCCTGCTGGGCCACAGAATTCTGGGGGGCCACAGAGCCCAGGGCAGCTCTGTGGCACGACCCCCACCCTCTGCCAGCGCCTGGACTGGCACCCCCTCCCCTGCTCAGTAAACCAGAAAAATAAATAAAAGGCAGGGGCTGGACAGACGGATGGACGCAGGGAGAGCGCCCGAGGGGCCAGATCTGCTTGGGAAGCAAGCTGGGGCCACAGCCAGTGGCCCGGGGGGACGCTGGCCAGGGGGCTAGCAGCCCTTGGGGGCCTGGCCGAGGCTCTCGCGCAGGCAGCGGAGCTGCTCCTGGCCCAGCTTGATCTTCTCCTCCAGCTCTCGCTGCTCAGCAATGAGGGCTGACTTCATCTTGACGAAGTGCTGGTAGTCCTGGAGG